GGGAAAGAGGTGAGATTTTTGTGCGAAAAGAATTCAATAATAAAAGCGGTAAGGCATCAAGAATTCCATATGTGCGTCATTTTTTAATTTAAGCTTTGATACATAAATTTAAGAAAAGTATTTGAATGGACTTCATCAATTGTATACCATAGTATTTCATTTTATGTAACAAATTAATTGACCCATAAATATTCAATTTTGACAGACAATGACAAACGCCCCTGAAGAGAAAGAAGAAAGGAAAAGGGATTGGGGTATCAGCATACACTCATTTCTATTCTATAATATGAGCAAGTGGGAATTATTAGGGTGGGAATTATTATTATTTTTTCTTTTTCACAATTAGTTTTCGTAGTTAGCATTCAATATGTTTTTTTTTCTTTATTTAATGCATTCTCAAGGGCCTAGTAAGGCAATATGAAATTCTAGGGAAAATCATTTTTAAAAAAGAAAAAGAAAGGATAAATTTGAGGACAACAGTGTTATTTCAATCGGATAATTTATTTTAATCGGATTATAAAATATGAATAGTATAATAAGGAAGGCAAAGTTGCTTTCTTTAAGAGTGCCAGTCAGAACTTAAGATTTTGACAAAATTCTTTTATTTGGGCCGTTCTATGAATGTTTGGAAAAAGAAATTTTAAAAAAAAATACATATTCAAATGGAATCACTTTTTATTTCTATCCCTTGACATTAGTTCATGTATCTCCACCTTTTAAATTAGAATTAGAGAGATATTTTTAATAAGTTAAGTACTTGAAAAAATAAAATCTATAATTTTCTCTTCGAAAAATGCTTGCTCTATTATCTAGAAAAAGAACAGAAGTTAAATCAGCTAACCGTAATGTGTTTACTTCAGACTTGATTGTAACTTTTGATCTTTTGGCTCGAATATCGTGTGATCATCATAATATAACTCGAGTTTAGGAGAAACAATCAACTTTTGCAATTGATTTATAGGTGGCCGTGGACAAGCACTAGAGTAGGCAAGCAGTATTAAAGCTAGTAATTTAGAGCATCTTCAACGTAGTATTAAGGTGATAATGACAACTTTTATATTAAATAGACAAATCACTCTTTAATGTAGCGTCACTTAGGTATTAAAATTTGACAAATATTATATTTGAAGCCAAATTTTATACCAAATATAAGATATGCCAACGTTTGGCACTATTTGATTGCTATTCGTTGATGTATCGAATTTGTAATTAAATTACTATAACATGCCATTTTTAAATTACTTTGGCCTTGTTTGGTTTGCCGTTCGAATTGTGTGTTTTGGTTCGAATTGTGGTAATTTGAATTGCGATTTGAGTTGTGGTGATTTGAATTGCGATTCGAATTGGTGTTTAGATACATAAATAAACTGTAATTTGAATTGAGAATAAAATTTGATGTGTTTGGATAAAGTGTTAAAAAATGTCATTCAAGTTTGTAACAAATCTTATAAAACTTCATTACAAATGACATTAAAAAATATGCAATATGGATGGAGATTTGTTCCTCTGTTCATTATGAACAAATTGGAAAAAAAAATAATCTCAATTGGAATTGAAACAAAGAAGTTATGACGTTTTTTAGCTTAAAATTGGGCAAAGAGAAAAAGTAAAATCTGAACTATTTTCTACAGTAAAAAACAATTCATATTGTGTGAATTTAGAGGGAGAGGGGTCAATATAAATTCAAGGATTTAAACTATTGTTAATGGTTTAAATTGTCCTCATTTAGTTCTCTACTAAACAACAATTTGAATCTTAATCAATTATGGTTTGAATTGAATTTTTTAGTTTATAAACCTTGAAACAAACATGGGCTTTAAAATTAAAAGTTTACATTTATAAATTCTAAAACCCATTTTTCAGTGCATATATAACATTTGTTATTTGAGAAAGGAGACAAATACCCTTAAAGTGTATGAGTCTTGATTTTTACTCTTCGTTCTTGATTAATATCCTTTTAATCAAATAATTATAGAGTCACTCTTCAGAGTAATTCTCATTTTGTTATTTGGCGAGATTATGCACTCGTTTTCTATAGCAAAACTTGCATTTAGTAATATGCACTAGCTTAGAGCTTATTTCATGAAGCGTAAAAGTAAAAATTTTAAATAGATAACACAGCTAAGAGCCTAAAACACCCTTGTAATTGTTGAACACTGATCTTGTAGCCTTGAAGATTCTCAAAGAGAAAGAAAAGTCATATATACTCTTTACCCTAATAACTCATAAAAACATATCTTATAGAACTCGTACGGTTCTTCAACATCACATAAAGGGAACATAAATGTCTCGTTCATTTCATCGATTCGAGTTTTCAGTTTTAGGTTTCTACAGTAAAAAGCTCTCAGAAAATATCACATCTAACTTTTTCTGCTACAGTGAAAAGCTCTCAAAAAATATCACATCTCAACTCGAATTGAAAACTCGAATCCGCGAAGTGAACGAGGCCAAAGAGTCAACTTTACTTCTCTTCTTTTCCACTAGACACGGCCTATAACTAATATGACATAATACATAACACCTCAGAGCAAGTCACATAATATATAACGACAAACAAACACACCTAAAAAGACAAAGCGACACCTAAAGAAACCTAAACATAGAAGAAGAACTTCATTAAATCCCGACAAGGGAACTGCCAAACAATATTATCCGCTGCTCATAACATTTGGATTCTGATTTTCTCATCCCTTGCTTGCAACACCCTTTTCCCGTGAATATGAATCTGAAGATGTCTTTCATCGTCCTTAATTTGTTCCATAAACTTATTGAATAGATCTCCCTCCTGAGCAAGCAAAGAGCCAAATTCTGAGGACTAGGCAAAGCACAAACTAGAAAGAAGTCCAAATTGACCAAGACATAGATGGTCAAAATAAAATAAATAAGATGTGTTACGTGATAATACTAACATATTTCTTTCCTTTGGTAAATACATACGGATTTCAATTTGGTAAATAACATTCATAAAAGGTTGTTATCACTACTAAATACTTATTTCTAGGCAATTATATATATTGATCGATCTAAACCTAGATATAATTTGACACTATTACAAATTCTGATGGTTCGAAGAAACAAGTGTATATAATCTTACCTTCTTGTAATCAGAAGAGAAATATTTGAGGCATTGGGAAATAACCGCATTGCCATTGGTGCTTTGAGTCAAGGAAACAGCAATTTTACTAAGAGCTGATGCGACTAAATATCGTTGTCCTATGTTCCTTAGACCCCCGGTCAACAATTTCTGAACCACCTTAGGTCTACAAATTAAAAAAGAAAAACAAAAGTCAAATTATTATAATACAAATTACATGATAAATTAATGATAATAATAATAATAATAATAATAAATAACATGATAAATTAATGATAATAATAATAATAATAATAATAATAATAATAATAATATTTGCAGTAAAAAAAAAAAAAAAGAATCACAAAAGAGCCTTAAAAAAAATGAGAGGAGAAAATAAAACTTCGTACTGGTCCAAAAAAAAAAAAAAAAAGGGGGGAAAAAAACCACGGTTTAAAAACGGAAA